AGGACATAAAATATTTCTGAGCCCTATTTAAATATTGTAGGGAGTACAGAGTAGTTATATGTACAGATAGTCTCATACCTATGTCTCTAAATAGTATTAAACCTAAGAACAAGGAATTACATAGAAGGAATGATAAAATAAAAACTGTAAATCATATGGCAACCATATGATTTACAGTTATATCCTTATATATCCTTTCTTCTTATGCAAACGATGCATCATTAGTTGCTATTTTTCTTAATTCATACCAGATTAGTGTATAAAAAATGTTATACGGCCGTATAACCCTACCAAATTCAGATACAACCTGCATGCATACTTTCTACATAAACTGCGTCGAATATATAATTAAGTAATGTAAAATTTGTCATTAACAAATAATTGACATGTGAAACATTTTCCTTGTTCTTAGTATAAAACAAAATCGCGACGCGTCGCCGCCTGTTTCTAAAACTCTCTTCTCTTAAATCATGCAACTGTTTTTTGATACGGATTTTACTGTTACTCAAATATATATTTTTACGAGAGGTTTTTTATTTATTTAAACTGTTAACCTAACTTTTTTCATTAGTAAATCCCAGCAGTGCGAAGTCGGGGTATGTCACTAGTATAATATGCGTAATATGGTTCTGAAACTATTATTTGGCTTTTCACAGCTTGTCCATTTTCCTTGTGGAGAATAATCCTGCTTGTTGTGAATAAGTAAAATGTATTTGTAGATACAATTACGGTTTAAGATATTTATTTCCTCATACAATTCATTTATACGAGAAAATGCAAAGTTTTACAAGTACTTATATATTAAAAGTTCCAATTACCTTCTAAATTAAAATATTTCTAATAGAATGTCTATCTGAATGTAAGTGTGGTAAGATTAAATTAATTTTCACACACACCAACGCGAACGCAGTCGCACTCACGTACGCACACGCACACGTGTACATACACAAACACACACACACACACACACACACACACACACACATAGAGAGAAAGAGAGAGAGAGAGATATGCACACATGCAAGTACGCATTCACGCGCACGGAGCGAATTAGTCACTCACACACACTAGTCAGTCCACACAGGTACTCCTACCGTCTGGACTAGGTTACTAGTTTCTTTTATGTTTTAATTTATTTGCAGTAATTATTGAATAAATAAAAATAAATGAATAAAAAAAATTACAATATTTTAAAATTAGCTAACAGCACAAGAACCCAGTATTTGGGAATTTAAATAACTAAATAAATAATTGTTTAAGGTAAAACACCGCAGTGGAAGCGTTTTATAAGGAAGAGATTCTCTGTCTGTCGAGGAGGACAAACCTGGCATCGGCTTCGTGAATTTTTCTGCTGTAGGTGATCGGCAGTTCTTCCTCAACTCCTATATGCACGCACACACAAGTTCTTGCAGGTTCTTCAGGGCATATACAGTTTAAAATGCACAAATTACTCACTCAGTACTTTTTTTTATTCGTTAAAGTAAGGTGGGAAAAAAATAAGAATGACGGACTCCAATATTGTAAACAATCTGTGTTTTATTACAAAGACATAAGGTTTTATTTTAAACAATAATCATTATTAATATTAAAATGTGGAATTGACTTTGTTAAATTGTATCTCTTGGCATTTTAACGGCTCCACTAAACGTCATGAATTTTGATACACATACATAAAATATCTACGTACTAGAGACACTTTACATCACAGTCAATCGAAATATTCCAGTCACGCTGACAAAGTCGCGGGAAAATTAATAGTTTTATATAAATTAATGTATCTACAACGAAAGTGCTCTGTACGCAGTCTCAGTCACGCACGCGCCATATGACATTTGCGGATTTTGTGTCCGGACATAGTAATATGGAGATGCACTTAATAAAATATATTATATAAAATAAAATAAGAATAACAAAACAGCGCAGTGATCAAGTGTTGGTCTGTAAAAATGAGGTCTCGGGTTTGATTTTCGGTTGGGTCAATTTTGGAGAGGAGTATTTTTTGATTCGAGTTTAGAGTTTCAGGTTTCCACTTATGTTTCTGCCGCGAAGTAATAGTAATTAGTAAACACAAATAGTAATATAATTATTACCTTTGGCTTCGATGAATGAAGTCGGTTTTTTTTAATGGATGATAATGGAATGGTAACCCCGCCTGCGCTATCGGTATACACTAGCGGGGCACCAGTGAGGGGTGATAGGTGAGAATGAAGCAGGGCAGTTAGCCCATCGTGACGAATACATCTCATCTCAGGAATTTTTAGTACGATGGTGTTCAGGGGAGACTACGGGGAGGTCGACCTGATAGGATATATTGTTAGCAATATACCCGTATTACTTATAATCCCTTCACCTTCTCTTCAATCTGTTGGAGAGACCCATACATGAGACGAGTTATAGAAGTGGTTGAAGGAAGAGATGTACACTTAGTACTCTCTGCCTACCCTGAAAGGACTTGACGTGATGTTAAATAGATTACAACAGACGTGCTATTTACTCATCTATATCTATATTTATCCATCAGACAATATTTTCCGACACATGTTGCCAGCTAAATAATTAATCGCATTCCTTATTTATGTAGCTTCGTTACGGTTGCGTATGCGCAGTTATAATTAAGTCCGTGTCTTTATCTACCCTCTCTGTCTTCGGGCCGGCGATGTAGGGAACAGCGGATAGACCAGGAGCCCAGAATGTAGACCGTGAGTAGAAAAAGGTCATTGATATTTTGGTGACGGTGAAGAAATTGAGCGAGAGCTCAATATAGCATTGTGTTAAATTGTTTGCATAGAAAAAGTATAGTTGTACTGAATAGGTATCTGTTAAAAGACTGTTTACCAGAGGGAGACTTTGTACAAAAGTCGATTGCTTGGGTACCTCTGTCCCATTCGTGTTTCAACCGTGAAGCAGTTGTGTTCGCATGGCTGTGTTTCGGTTTGAAGGGTGGGATATGGCGTGAATTTACTGGGTACAGAGGAATAACACCCGAGTCCTCAGGAATGGCAACGCATGGGGTGTATCATGGGCGAAACAGTATACTCTGTTATGTCCATGGTACTGCTCATGTCTATAGGCGACGGTTACCACTTTCCATCAGGTGGACCGTCAGCTTGTTTGCCATTTTAAGCTGTATAAAAAAAAAACTATAAAAAGGTCGAGTTTCTTAGTTCGACTCTATTTTTAACCGACTTCAAAAAAGGGTTTACAATTTGGATATATTTTTATGTTTGTTATCATATAGCTTAGTTGTGAAACCGATTTTTTTTTATCTGATAGGATATACCTACTTACACATTGGCTCCATAGAAACTCTATCGAAATCGGTACAGCAGTTAATTTTTTTAATTAAAACAACTGCTTTTACCACAACTGAAGTAGTTTTTTTTTTTTGTGAATACCATTTAATTATTACTTTTTAATTTTCTTATTTGTAATTTTTTAAATAAAAATTAACATAAGTATTTAAAATTCGAATCGATTTGTTATTTTTTGTAAAAACATTTAATTACGTGTAATATTTAATTTAACTTCCTATTGAAAATTAAAATAAAGTATTAGAAAATTTATAATATATTAGAAAAAAATACATTTTTATATCCGCCGTTAACTGTCCACTGCTGGACATAGGCCTCGCCCATAAAGGGTATAATGTCAGTAGTTGCTACGTCCAGGCCGTTTGGCAATCGTAGATAGGCTTTTGATGATGTGTCAAGACGGACGCTGCTGCCCATCCCTCGACCTTGGTAAATAGAAACAATAGAGCGCCAAACTCGGATTCAAACAGACATACGCACAGTAATGTCTTTTTTTTAATCCCATTTCGTTTAAGTATTCATTATGACAGTGTCATCTGCCGTGTTAAAAGTTAATTTTGAATTAATCTATTCAGCTTTTTGACAAGTACACGCGGCAAAGTACACTCGAACGACCTGAATATTGGAAACAAAACATTACAACGCATTATTCTAATAAAATTACAATAAAACAAGATAAAAAAGAAACTGGTTCGGCTGCCGCTCTAAAAAAGGGCGACCGGACCCTTCTGTATTAGCATTTTCAAACGGGGGCCACTTATTGGAATAGTTTGCTAAAATATAAATAACACAGAAACCTTATTACGAAAGGTGTAAGGTGCAATTTTAATTAACACTTTATTATAATGATAACAAATTAAGTTGGTATATTTTTTTAAAGGGAATATTAAAAAATATGGCACACTCGTGAATGGAACCGTAAAAGATTTAGGTCGACGCATTAAAATGTGACAAGCGCGGATTGTTTTTTGGATAAACACGGGACAGGAGAAACATTTTAAGCCACTTCCACTTGGACGAGGTTCTTGATTCGTCTGTATTTTTTATTTGTGTGTGTAATAGAGAATGGTACCTAATATCAGTACCTATATATTGAGCACCAATATCTATATATTCAGTTCCTCGCGACATTAATGGCGGGAAAATGGTCATTATACATTACGATATCGCATACAGATCGGATATCTATATTAATTTCAATTGAGTTTTTTCGATATTGTATATTGGCTAACAGATATTTAATATATTGGATGTCGTATCCAATAAATATTCAATATAGAACTTGCTTTTTCTAAGGAGTTTAAGTTTGTAAGAATAATTCATAATTTGTAGTAACATTAAATCCATTAATTTGTTTATTTTCTCTACCTCAATGTGTTAATAAAGTTATTTAAAAAATAAATATAGGAAGTAAATAATCGTGATAAATCGAATTGCATTACAATAGCATTTCAATGGATTAGAAGCACTGTATATATTTAGATCAGTATCTGTGGCAATGCACTGTTGCAATTTTGGCAACACACCGCTTCCTCGTAATGCATTAGGCGCCCAAAACATCAGCAACTAGCTATTACAATCTTTAAAATAAACTCTACTGACCTATATGTAAGACGCAAATTAATTTGGCGAGCACAAGTGACATTTCACGTAGGTATTACACGTGAACATTTACAAGACAAAAATAAAGTGGTTGAGACAATTCGGTCAGAAGTAAACTGAATTTAGAATTAGTCAGACGCGTCGATTGCATAAAATTAAATGGTTACCGTGATAATATTTTCGTGTGTGGTGAAATTAAAATGAGTAGCAAAAAGGGTAAAGGTAAACGGCCCAACAAGCCACCCAATCTGAATCCTCCTCAAATAAAAGAAGATATAGTGCCAAAAAAAGAAGAAGATGTACCTGTTGCCGAGACAGCTGAAAGTGAAAGTGAACAGCGCGTCCCTGAAATAGTTAGCGAGATTCCAGCTATAACAGCTGATTTAAAGGATGAAACTAATACTCCCAAGAAACCAAAGAGAAATAGAGGTAAGAAGAAAAAACAAGATAAAGATACGGAGTTTGAAGATACTAATATTGAAAAGTCTATCACTCCTCTTTTAGAAGCAACTAGTTCTAGTGCACCTGAAGTTACAGCTGAAACAAAAATTGATGAAGTAAATAAAGATAAATTAAATAACGAAACAAAGACTCCTGAAACGCCAAATATAATGCCTACCACTCGAAAAAATAAAAACAAAAATAAGAAGAATACGCATGAGCAGCAGACATCAGAAAAGTTGGATTCGAAAAAAGAAAAAGAGGTAGCCAAGATTGATGATACCGACACCGAATTAATAACGAATATACCACTCGATTCAGTTAAGGTAGAAGAACAAATAATAGTTCCAAATTCGCCTATTCAATATGAAATAATGGAGCAAGTTAAGTCGTCAAAAAAGAAAAACAAAAGAAAAAAGCAACATGATTCTGAAACATTACATAAAAATGAAGAGCAGTCAGAGCAGCCTTATACCGTTGATTCTCAAAGTCAGTTAAATAAAAAAGATTTAACAGAAGATTTAAATAATCAGATTACTAAAGAAAAACAAGTTCAGAATATTGAAAAGAAAATAGAGGAAATCGCGACAATTGATATTAAGCAAGAAGTTCTCAAGGATCTACCTATAAGAGAAACAAGCAAAGAAATTGGTGGCAAAAACAAGAAAAAGAAAAAAGATAAACGGTTACAGGAAGAATCACAAATTTCTCAGAAAATTGATAGTAATGTTGATATGCCTACTAAAGAAATAAAAACATTACCTACTGAAATGACATCATCTGTTTTACTTGATCATGGCGATAAAGAAGAAATCTTGAAAAGTTGTGATATATTACAACAACTAGAAGAACAAGTTACAAAATCTAAAGCTACGATCGTTAAGCCTGTGGATAAGAAAAATGATAAAAAATCTAATCAGTCGTTTAAAGATAGTTTATCAAAAGAAGAAATTATTACTGAAGAGCCAATACAGAAAAATATTACTTTATCAGGAACAGAAATTACTGATACACCGCATGAAGTAGATAAAAATATTACGTTATCAGAAACAGAATTTAAAGTTACACCTTATGAAGATATAGCTAGTTTTCCAAAAGATGAAATTGTTACTGAAAAACCAATAGATAAAATTATAACTTTATCAGGGACCGAAATCACAGATACATCGCATGAAGTAGATAAAAATATCACTTTATCAGAAACAGAAGTTAAAGCTACACCTTATGAAGATACAACTAGTTTTCCAAAAGATGCGATTATTACTGAAAAACCAATAGATAAAAATATAACTTTATCAGGAACAAAAATCACAGATACACCGCATGAAGATACACCTGCTGTAGAAAATATAAAAGAATCGAATACACTGAAATCTGAATTTATTCCTGCTCCCTCAGGATCAATGGGGAAAAAAAGAAAAAAATCGCCAAAATTGCCTGTAGATACAAGAGAAAAAGAAAAAAGTGAACAAAGTATTCAAGATATACATAATCAGAGTACTGAGTTAGCAACCGACATTAATCAGACGAAAATGAGTGATATACTTCAACCTATAATAGTACAAAATACTAAAATACAACAAGAAATTTTGAAAGTTGATGATAATCAAGTTAAGAAGGAGGATCAATTTGAACAAAATAAAGCTGTACTTGAAACTAATATAGGTGTTTCGCCCGAAACTAAGAAAGGAAAAAAGGGTAAAAAGACTCCAAAACCACCCATCAACTTTGAAAATATTGGACATGAAGAGGGAAAACCAGCAACTGAAAACAAAGGTCAATCTCTTTCAGAAACAGCAAAAGTTAGTGGAGAAGTATTTTATGACTTACCATCAATTGAAGAAATAGATATCAAGAGCGTTAAAGCTGGTGAGTCGGGAGGATCATCTACTGAAATAACTCCAGATTGTATTCAATATCCACGCGCTCTAAGTCAGCAAAATGTTGACAATAATAACAATACAGTTATACAAGAACTTATGATAACAGAAGAATCGAGATTACAAGTACCTCATGTTGTACCTGATGCGTCTTTTATGAAAAGTTCAGAAGAGATATTAACATCACCCGAATCAAAACTTTCTAGCTTAAAAATAGACTCAACTATTAATACTAAAAAATCTGATGAAAAACAAGAAAACACTGATTTGAAATCTAAAATGATAGAAGTTAACCAGGATATGGAAGAATTAAGATTGTCTATAGAAAAATCCCTCGCAGAGTTAACAGCTTTAGAAAAAAGTGAAGATAAAGTTGAAGTAGGTACGAGTGAAAGTCAATTTGATATTGCAAAATGTGCAGGAGATTTTATTAGTCCTATTGTAAATATTGACACTAAATCAGAAAATAAAGAAAGCGACGTCAAAAATACAAATATAAATAAAGAAATCGATGTAATATCCTCAATAGAACCAAATAAAATAATTGAAAATATTAGTCTCGAAAAAAATCCAATGGAAAGTTCATCTACAACTATTGAAAGTAAAGATGAAACAAAGCCCATCATAGATGAAAAAATTGTCACTGATACTAATGTTTCACCTGAAGTACATACTTTACCCATATGTCAAACGAAAAAAGACCACAAAGGTAAAAACAAATCGAAAAGAAAAGGTAAACAAGAACAAGGAAGTATTTCTAATAAATCAGAAGGCAGTGAAGCTACTACTAGTGAAAAAAGTTGTTCGGAAACCAGTAAGACAGACAAGAAAACTGAACAAAAAGCTGAAACTTCACAAGAAAAAGGGAAACAACAATCAATGAATACAACCGAAGACTTAAATAATGAGACTGGTGCAAGCAATAGTGAAATTGATAAGCAAAATTTAACCAAATTTGAGCCCATAGAAAATTTTGAAGATGCAATGACATCAAGTATAGATGATGTAAATAAAACATTTGAAATGATAGCTGATGATGCCCAAGAATCTCAGGTTAACCCGGAGATTAATATTAAAGTGTCAACAAAAGACAAAAACATAGAACCTAATGAAAAAAACAACCCTGTTTCGCAGCCAAAAAACTTGCTAGGCCACCCCGATATTCCTGTACCATCGAGTAAAACTGATTATAAAAAGGAAAAAAATAAACCACCAAACGCAATATTGGCAAAAGTAAAAATAAAAGATTCCGTGCAGATAGAAAAAAAGAAGCAATCTAGAGAATCTCAAACTAATAATATAAAAGATTTGATAAAAAGTAAATCCAACAACGACTCATTTTCCTCGATGGTAAATGAAACCGATGAATATATATACAAATATACTTTTAGGAAAGTATATTTGCCCAATGTTTGTCATGTGTGCAAGAAAGAATTAAAACAAACTAGGGTGTCATGCAGTTATTGCAATTTGTTGTTTTATTGTTCTCCAAAACATAAAGATGAAGACTGGCCCCAACATCAAGCCCTGTGTTTCGCTGTATCCACAATTGGACATTTAAAAGGTACTATATTTTTTACTAAGCAACTTAAGGTTTTGAAAACAATTGAATAAATATATAAATATAATAAATCAAGACAATAATGATATATATGTATGTTATTAGTATTGGTTACTATTACGTAGACTAGCATTATCACTTTTTATGGAAAATGAAATTTATGGAAATAGGAGCATTTTGATGTTTTATTTGCTTTTTATAGAGATATTTCCATTTTAATATTTAAACATGATACAGTTTTAGTTTTGTTGAATTTTTCATAGTTTTGTCTTATAAAATAATTTCATATGATTTTTATAGATCAAAAATACATTTATGCCGATGCTAAAAATATAACGGGACATAACTACAGACTACTCAGGATGCAAATGATAGTGTCCTGTGAAAAGGTACTCAAGAGGAAACTGGTACCGTGGGAACAGGAGGTACTGTTGTACCCAAGAATGTGTTTCGAGATCACTTGCAGGGAATGGAGGCAGAATTTATTGGTAGACTGCGATGGGTGTGGGCAGGTATGGTGGTTTTATAGACAAAAACTTTAATTGACATTATAGCATAAATAATATGGATTATTTTAAACAAAGGCATGCTCTTTTAAATAAAAGCAAATTAATAACAAAGTGTCATGTAATTATTGCATCTATTGTTTTCCGAAATATAAAAACGAAGACTAGCCCCGTCATAATATTGTGTATTGCTGTTTCTTTCTAAAATAATAGTAGAAAAGAGACTCTCCTTTTAAATTTCCTTTTAAATTAACCATAAATTTGGTTTATATGGTGTAATCACTATTACATACACTGATGGTGAGAATAATGATAATCTATAATGCATTGTGGTAATTTGTAAAAGAAATATAGTATTTAGTTCAGCAGTGAACAATGATTGTTTGGATGATGATTAGTTTAATTTACTTAATTTAGATTTAACAGTTCAATTAACTTCTGTAGGTATCGTACTGCCGAGATCATCCTGAACATCTGTCGAGAGCACACCAGCGGTGGTGCAAATCGTACTCGTTGTATCAGAAATTGGTTTGTTACCAACAGACGAAGGGCAGGTTGGAGCCTAAACTTCCAAGCAGGGTGATGATTGATCATTATCGTATACCTGAGAAGATCAACGAAGTCCTTGCAATTATATACAAAGATAAAATTGGTGAGTTAACGTACGAAGTCGTAAAGGTGCAATCGTTCTTTATAGATGCAGTTATACTATTGTATGTTTAAGATTTTGAATTTGATATTGTTTTTTTTTTTTTATTTATAAAAGATCGTGTCCAACAAAAAGGTGACTCCAAATGTAAGAAAACCAATTGATTGGTATTCTGTTGGAAATTGCTTAATTCGAACAGTGTAGATAGTCAAGTTACCGGACTGTCTTGGATACTATAATTGAAATAAATTTATCTTTATTTAAATTTCACTGTCAAGAGAATATACAATCATCATGATTCGAAAATTCCGATTCGTTTTTATCTTTTACAATGTCCTAGTAGTTTAATTTTTAAATTCCTAGTATTTGTATATATTTCTTTATAGGGTCAAATAGCTCTATTGAAATTAGAAAAATTCCATCTTCATTCATTGAATTTATATGAAGTGTTGCTTTCATTACATTGTTATTTGTATCAGATATGAACGACGTTGAATATGCAGCGTTGACTCAGCTAGCCACTGCACCGCTCACGACAGCTTACTGTAATCAGTTGTATTCCAGCAAATTGAATTCGACAACTGCCAATGGAGTTATTAAGGTCGGTTGAAGCTTTCGTCTTAATTATCTTACTAATGAATGAATGATTATGTATTTACAAGAAACATGTTAATTTTATAGATGTTAACAATAGATATAAGGCCACATATTTCGTCATAATCAGGCATGCACGATTTAAAGCTTAAAAAGTATAAATGTTGATTGAATGAGTCATTCAATTAGTAATATTATAAAGAAATATAAATATATCAAATACAGATCCATCTCAATTAAAATAGTAGAATAAAATTGTATCTAGAAATGGAAAACATTTGAGAAAATGTGGATGGATGAATCTGTTTGGAAATATGTGAAGTCTCGATAAGAGCAATTGATGCCAAATAATAATAAAAAAAATAATTCTATGTGCATGTTTGTTACGGTATCACGTAAAAACTACAGCACCGAATTGGTTACAGTTTTTACTGTTATGCTTCTGAAAGTCTAACTTAAAAACTGGTATATGTTTTATCTAGATACGCCATCTAAAAGTGGCATATTTTATTGATTTTCTTATTTGTAAAATCCACGGGTACAAAGTAACGAGCGAACAACTACTTAAATATAAAATGACTATGATGGAAAGTGGTAACCGTCGCCTATAGACATGAGCAGTATCATGGACATAACAGACTATACTGTTTCACCCATGATACCGTCCATGCGTTACCAATCCTGAGGACTTAGGTGTTATTCCTCTGTACCCAGTAAATTCACGCCATATCCCACCCTTCAAACCGAAACACAGCGATGCAAACACAACTGCTTCACGGTTGAAACACGAATGGAACAGAGGTACCCAAGTAATCGACTTTTGTACAAAGTCTCCCTCATTTACTCTTACATTTTTTATATATGAAACAGAGGTCATCATTCACAATCCACGTGGTGGGAGCCGAGTTGCAGTTTGAAGCGGATGTGCTCAGCAAATGGGAAGTGTTTTTTCTGCACCTACGCCCCGACGTACAGGTGCTGAGGATGGTCCTCATCGCTCCCGATCTGAACCCTTCCAATTTGCCGTTGGACTTGCTTCGGAAAGTCAAGTACGTTGCTACTCGTATTATGATTAATGTAAAAAAGCGAAGGAGTGAGGGGGGGGGTGAACTGTTATTTATCTATGTACATATAAAAGACGTTTTTTTATAACACAAGGGGCAAACGAGCATGCGGCTCACCTGATGGTAAGTGACTACCGCCGCCCATGATCACCCACAACACCAGCGGCATTGCAGGTGTGCTGCCGGCCTTTTAAAAAGGAATATGCTCTTTTCTTGAAAGTTATGTTGTCGTATCGGTTCGGAAATACTGCTGCTGGAAGTTGATTCCAAAGAGTGGTTGTGCGTGGAAGAAAGTTAATTTAATTGTCTACCTTTACAGGCTGTGCGATGATTGTCAACGCAGTAAACGCCAGATCGTATTCAATTTCGAAGATAAGAAGACATATCACCAATATTATGACAGCATTGACTTCACCTCCCCTGACATAGGTAAAATTTTAATACAATTTGTTACCACATCTAATGTTGCTTTTTATCACTGCGGGGTTTTTATCATTTTGGGACTATTATTTACAATTTCTTTTTATAAATATGGATTTTTTTTCAATGGCTGAAAATGGTATTGTAACCCCGCCTGCGCTAACGGGATACGCTGGCGGAGCACCAGTGAAGGGTGATCGATGAGAATGAAAACAGGCCAGTTAGCCCATCATGATGAATTCATCAGGAATTAACCATGATAGTTTCCAGGGGGAACCGCGAGAAGATCGACCTGGTTGGGTATATTGCTAGCAATGGGATTCTCAGTCTCTATTACTAACAATCCCTTTCCCCCCTATAAATATGGATTAGCGAACACTCCGATGGCCCTGGTAAGTGGTAATCATCACTTCTAGATATGAACAGCATCGTGGTACTTCAAAAGCGTTGCCATTCCTGCTATTTTATTTTGTAAATTTCCGCACATTCTGCAACTCAGTTTATTTTCACTTCACCTAAATATTCATTTCATTTAATATTCATATTTTGAATGTAAACATGGAAAGTCATGTGAAGGGAGTTTTCGAAACTAAAGTTCCTAAAGATGGCAGGACGCTTATCCCAGTACACAGTCATTACTTGTTTATAGGATATCAAATGTAAATACCTCGTGGATCCGTTAGTAAAATTCTAGTTTGACTTTACAAAATAGCAATAATGAACTATGCTTTTGAACTGGAGCTCTGTTATGCAACTATTGCTGTTGGTGGCATAAACAAAAGGGGCTATCCTTATGAAGGACTCTGTACAAAATATCCCTCTGATGTTGTACCAGCTTTGATATTTACCAAAGACATACTTTGAACATGTATAACAGAATTCTGTTGTTACGCAGTACGTTGTTGTGTGTATTTTGTCAAAGCTCATTTGGCATTGTATCAAACATTCGTGACCTACATTACGTTCCTTTATGCGCATCATTTTGGGCGCGTTGTGAAGTCACTACCTACCATCTGGCATTTCTGTACCAACGAATGAATATTTTGTATTCTGCGAGCTAATAGCAGTTCTGTCTATGTTGTGAAGTCTACAGCATAGGGTTCTTCAATATGGGCATATTGGCTAGATTTCTTAAAAGCAAGATCCCTGGTGTTGCAGGCGTTCATAGGCTACAGTAACGGTTTACCATCAGACAGGATATATGCTCGTTTGCCTCCATATTAGTTTAAAATAAAACCAACTTTATACAAGTATTCATTTCTGTAATCAAGCAGCTCTCTTGCATGTTGTATTCCAGTTGGAAAGATGAAACCAGTGAAGATACTGGGTACTGTCACAGAAGCTCCTTATGTCATAAGATTTGGTAACTCACAAGTGATTGTTCTGGTGCTATCATGGATGAGTCGTGGTGGTTGCTTGAATCTATTAAAATACTAACTGTGTTCCACTACTTCGTCCTCGTGTTCATGTGTCCTTCGTCTCATAGTTAGGGTACCCGTGTACTAAATTTCATTTAGATCTGTTCAGTAATTTTTACGTAAAAGAGTGAAAAATATCCATCCATCGTCCATCCTTAACTTAATATTATGCTTTTTTTTAATAAGAAATTTGAAAAATAAAGATTCGATAATTCCTCTGATCGCATGGTTTAGTCCTTCCCATTTCATTTGCTCTATTATGTTGATTTATTTCCAATATATAGTTATACTAGCTGACCCCGTAAACGTTGTTTTACCACTTATTGCGAAATATAAAAATCGCGATTAAAAGACATCGTAAAACGATGAAAATTTAAAATTGTGTCTATTTTTCAATGCTAAATTATAATAAAATAAAAATGGAAAATTTTGTTAAAAAAATAAAAAAATTTTTTGGGGAGGGCCACCCTTATCATTGAGGGGTATGAAAAATAGATGTTGGCCGATTCTCAGACCTACCCAATATGCATACAAAATTTCATAAAAATCGGTAAAGCCGTTGCGGAGGAGTTTGGTAACAAACACCGCGACACGAGAATTTTATATATAAGATATATTCGACATCAGTGACTTATGGACGTCAACAGTTTGTTTTGACAATGATGTTAAATATTGTTTATCGATTGGATATGTTACGTACAATAAAATGTTGTAATGACACAATCAAATTTATCAATTTGATGAGAAACGACACCCAGCCGTCAATACTGTCTGAGTATGAGACAGTCTGTCGCCGTATATCAAATAGTTGGCAGCTCTCGTGTATGGTACATTTGAATGTGTGATACGAGTGAGAATAAAATGTGACATATTTTTTTTTCTATGCATTGTGTATGAACAAGAGATATCTATTAAAAGGCGAATCGAAGATAATGTTGTAAAATAAAACAAACCTGTTGTTTCCGCAATCATTGAAGCCAATTTAATTGTAACTACTAATATGCAAAAAAAATATTTTATTTTAACTTTAATGCATTATGTACTTTTGGTGAACTTAACACTGGACGGTGTTTTCTACCAGTCAACTATTGGGCAAACAGAGAAATAAGTAGGCGGTGCATTATTGATATAAATTAAAAAAAAATTTTGGTCACTAAACTTCTCCATATGAAGTATTAAGAAAATTACTGCAATCCCTGTGTGGTGTCGAAAGATTCTAGACGGTCTTCGATACACACAAAGGCCTCTTACGTAGCTTACGTATCCTCTGAAGCATATATTAAAGTTACAACCATTTTTAAAAGACCCAAACACGGATCCGGATGATGGCTTTACATTTCTTCCAAACCAAATATTAAACCATTTTTAAAAGACCCAAACACGGATCCGGATGATGGCTTTACATTTCTTCCAAACCAAATATTAAACCATTTTTAAAAGATACAAACCAGAATTTCAAACATTCAGCAGTTTGTCCAATACAAAATCTTTGGATTGGATGACCACTTGAATTAGATCGTAAACATTGCCCTACTGATCTGTTACTTCTTTGAATACATATATGTGCCTTTAATTTCAGTATGTGCCTTCAACCCCAGCATTCAAAGATCGTCAACATACACCGGAACAGATCTGTGGTCTTCTACCATCAAATGTATCCTCAAGATCAAAACTCCTTTTGTCCTAACGGCATACAGTCTCGACGAACTGCGCAGAGACTTGGCCAGAGTTGAAGAGATCTGTGGTCAGGACCTGAACATGGTCGCCGACGCGAGACGCAACCCGTTCGCGAGCGTCAGACCGGACAGGAATTTTATTACTGACGACGAGATGCCATTGTTGTTTAAGAATTATTGTTTTTCTATTATCTGCGGTGTTTTTTAAGTGTTTGTTTTTTTTGTTTTTGAAATAAAGTTGTTGCGATACTGTTTGTGTGATCTTGGTTTTATTTTATATATATATATATATATATATATATATATATATATATATATATATATATATATATATATATATATATATATATATATATATTGAAGAAACATACAGCTTTGATTTTACTTAGTACTAGAATTCAAGATATTCATGTAACACACAACATTTATTAACGTACGAGTGGTGCCTCTGGTATTGCAGTTATTTATGGATTTCTTGGGCGCTTATCATAAATAAAATTATGTGATTGATCTTATGGTAGTATAAAATTGTTTTAGATTGTTTATGTTTTATTTTGTATACAACCTAGAATGGCAAACAAGCTGACGGCCCACCTGATGGAAAGTGGTAACCGTCGCCTATAGACATGAGCAGTACCATGGACATAACAGAGTATACTGTTTCGCCCATGATAACCCCCATGCGTTGCCATTCCTGAGGACTCAGGTGTTATTCCTCTATACCCTGTAAATTCACGCCATATCCCACCCTTCAAACTGAAACACAACCATGCAAATACAACTGCTTCACGGTAGAAACACGAATGGGACAGAGGTACCCAAGCAATCGACTTTTGTACAAAGTCTCCCTCTGAATGGCGAACAAGTTAACGGCCCATGTGATGGAAAGTGGTGATCGTAATCTATAGATATGGATAGCACCATGGACTCTGTGAATCGTTCTCTGAAACTCTAAATTAGAAATCTCTGATAAGACACGAACTATGGACATTTTACTGTGCCCATAATAGAATTTTGTAAAATTTTTACTATATTTTTTTACTAACGAGCACTGGTCTCAATCAATCGATCCGATGTGTATTATTTTGATTGTGGTTTTAATTTCGAATTGATCTTCTGTTGGCCTGGTATATTGTGCTGTTTCCCTCAGTTGTCTCTTACGACGTCCTGGGGATGAGGAGTGGTAACACGTTATTATTACATGGGAATGGACCTAATTTACACACATTGCATGATTATTAAGTTATTGATAATAATAATAATAATAAAAAGAAAAAAATAAAGAAATAATTTCATATAATCGAAACAGTACTTAATTATATTTACAATTATAGACTAAATAATATATCACAGATCAATAGTATTCAATATTAAGTAGAAATGAACAAATCAATGGACGTTGTGTCACAGAGGCAAGATTAGGAGGTAAGTCGCAAAAGAGATATAGTGCAAATAGTTGACGACGGCGCCCCCGGTGGCAGATCCGGCAATCTACACAGACAAAATGTTAACACATCAAGCTTTAGGGTTTAAACATAAATATTAGTAGCCAGTAATTGGTGTTATTGATGGAATCCAAAAGCAAAATGGTTCACATAATAATTAGCAAGTAAAGAAACATAATATTGTTTATAATAAAGGGGATAAGTTAGTCACAGATCAAGCAACCCAAATTAATTATGCAGACAAAAATAAATGTTATGCTGGAATTAAATATATGGCATTTATTGCAAACTCTAAGAACTTTAAGCTTTAACTTTGCCCAATACTAAAATTACTACTTGAGAATGAAAGCTTACAGAAATCAAACCAAATATAGTTTTTGCTTGTTCATATTTGTAAATGCTTGTAATATGTCAAGTATGTAATTTGTACAAAGAAATAATTATATTTCGACTATCTGCGATAGCCTCACTAGTGAAAATCTTAAGAAAATAGATATAACGATAGCCATGAACACAGTCTAATTGGAATTGTTAATATAAACAACTGAATTTGAAACATATACAAAAGTGTCTAGTAACCACATAATAAAAATAAAACAAATAATTACAATAACAATAAATGCAATGCTAAATGAGAAGTAGATTTAAAATGTGATGAAGCATTAAAAGCAAATTAGGAATGTATGGTATCAACTGGAGATTTCAACATTAAATACTATGTAAAGGGTACAGTTAAAGTTAAAATAAGTAAGCAAAATAAAGGTTACATGTACGTTAAGAAATCTAATAATGTAATGATATTTTGTATAAACATAATTATATAAATGGAAAATTTTTTGCAGTAAGACCTGTTATTAATATTTTCACTATTCTGTCTTATACTGGGCTTATGTGATATTTGTATCAAATAGGATTGGAGATTATAAACTTACTTGTTGAACAAATACATTTTGCTTCTAAATTAATAGAAGTAATTTATAAAGTCTTATGTAATCCTAAGCTAGTCAGTGTAAGATTAGCTTTTTTCGTTAAAAGTGAAATATGACAAGAAATGGAATCGACCGAAGGAAGTATCATTGAACTTGATACGTGAGAAGCTGTAGCAAAAGTTATACAACTTTTAGGAAAAGTAATAAAAATGTGAAATGTTTAAATTTCGTGGCCGTGTAGCCTCGGCATAGAATAGGCCACTCCTTTCTTTCGTTCTTGTGTTGTAAGAGGCGACAAAAGGAATTTAATAGTACAGGAATGGGCAGCAGCGTCTCTCTTAAAATAATAAAAGCCTAACTGCGGTTGCCAACCCGTCTGCCAAACGTGGCAACTATTGGTAGAATTCTCTCTATGGGAAAGACTTATGTTCAGCAATGTGGGCAATTAATGACTGAAATGATGATGATGATGTTAAGTTCAAATAAAAAAGAAGCGTATGGTTAAATGACGTATGAAATCTTTCGACATATGTGTGTATTTTAAATATTACGTTATTTATTCATGTTAGTTTTATAAGTAGTTTTGTTGTTGCAAAAAATATTATTTTTTACAAATTTTAGATCCATCGAAGATTATTTAAAACAATTAAGTTTCTTGCTTCTAATCAGGCAAAGCAATGGAATTGTCATAATAAGTATTAAAGTTATTAAGAAAGAATTATGATAGGTCGATAGATTTCAAGGCACTGATAATGGATCACAACACATCTAGTATTAGTTATACAACCACCTGTTCTACAAAAGCTGTTGTTGCTGTAAAAGGAAGCATTTCATTGGTCAAGTCATTATTTTCATCATTGGTACTTTTTGGTAGTCCTTTTTTCTTATTCTTGACACCAACGTTTTCTATTGTTATTATATCGTCACTGAGATTTGTACTCGAGTCTGATGTAGTTTCGTAATTTTGTGTTGATATTAAAATGTCTTCAGGTAATCCTTTATTTTCATCTTCAGTTGAGATTTTTTCATTGAATACACCTGTTATGATGTCGACTAGTAATGACTCTGTTGTACTGTCTGTGATTGTTGTATTAATTTCTTCATATACGTAATCAGTATAATTTTGCGAAAACTGGTCATCCATAAACAAATCTCCATAGTCTTCAGTATTATTTACAGTAGATGTATAAAACGTATCAACAAATGTACTTGATTCAACTGTTGTAACTTCAGTCGTTTCTTCCATTTCAGATATAAGCATATCTTTTTTGTAATTTTCATTTGACTTTTCTAAACTATCCTTTTCACTTAAATCTACTATCACAGTGGTAGTTTCATAATTATTTCCACTAGAAGTTTCAGTCGTACTATAAGGTAGCGTAGTAGTTTCAGCTTCTTCAGTAAATACTGTTACGTCACCACTCTCTTTACTACTATCATTAAACATTGTATTGTCAGTCTCTGTATCATTGTATTGATCATTCAACAATATATTAATTATCATGTCTATAGAGCTTAGTTCTACCTCATTTAGTTCATTCTTATTACTATTATTATATTTGGAATTGTTTGATAATTCTTCTATAACATACTGTGTCAATTCTTGAGTATAATTTTCAGGTGGATCCCAATGGAACTCTGGATCAGGCGTCGCTGTACTTAGATTGCTTGCTACTACTTCTTTATGAACTTGTACAGAGACTGCTGTTGTTGTGGTAGTGTTTAGAGAACTTTCAATTAATTCGTCATTGGAATCATTAAGTACATAGTTTTCCAGTTTATTATCTTTAGTGTATTTCGCAATGGCTGGGCCCATAACGTTTTCTATGTAGTTTTGTAGTTTGAGGCATTTGTCGACAGTGTTGACGTCGTTTGAACTGCCCCATATTATGAAACCGGATGCATTAGATTTGTACAGAGTTTGCAGTGCTATATCAAGATCGTCCTGAAAAATTCAAGAATGAAACATTAATATAGATTTTTAAATAATAAAAAAAATATAAATGATCTGATCACTTTATGAAAAGATAATGTATTTTTTATTTGTTTTATTTTAAATCTATTTTTATTTTAAATTGTATTTAAATATTTGTATTTTTATTTTAAATCTACCGGAAAATTTGCTAGATAATTTATAACCTTGGAGCATATTCCATTAAATATAGATGGTTGGTGATTGGGTTGGATGGATTGTTAGATATTTGGGTCGGCAAACTTAAGGAGCGAACTTTTCGAAGTGGATTCGCGTTTGGATACTGTGAATGGTGTTTACAGATGCAATTGTCTGGTTTCTTATAACACATCATCATCATGCTTGTGGACTTGGTAATTAATGTGATTATGTGAGATTTATTGTTTAATTTACTTATAATTTAATATATATATATATATATATATATAAAATTGCACTAAAACATACAGTAACAACAATAAGTTAATAACAATGTTAGCAAAGGCGAACTTTTCTCTAAAAGAGATTTCTTTCAGTCAACCTAACGCAGTGGCATAGGAAGTAGTGAGTGGGCAGTAGTAGTGCAAGACAGAAATTAAAATAAATATTTACATAATGATAATGATATAGTTATTAACTGTCCATTGAAGAACATAGGCCTCAATCTTGGGGGTTTTCCCAGTAGTTGCCATGCTTGGCAGGCGGGTTGGTATCTGCAGTTAGCTTTGGTGATGTTTTAAGAGGGAATATATTATAGATCATTCCTGTCCTGTGGGCGTCGTAAGAAGCGACTAAAAGTACTTAATGGTAGAGGGATTGGTAGCAGTGTTTCTCTAAAAACATCTCTAAAAGCCTAACTGCAATTAGCTACCCGCCTGTCAAGCGTGGCAACTACTGTTAAATCTCTCCTTATGGGGAAGACATCATGATCAATAATGGACAATTAACGGCTGAAATAATGATGACTATATTTCAGATACATTTAAGAACAGACAAATTTAATAAGAGCAACACTTAGTCTTTTGCAGTTCTTCTCTGCTGAAACTGCTTACTGAACTAGCAGAAAAATTGTTTTTCAATATTAAAAATTAACTTATAACTTAATTTTTTTTATACAACTTAGATTGGCAAACAAGCTGACGGCCCACCTGATGGAAAGTGGTAACCGTCGCCTATACACATGAGCAGTACCATGGACATAACAGAGTATAATGTTTCGCCCATGATACCCCCCATGCGTTGCCATTCCTGAGGACTCAGGTGTTATTCCTCTGTACCCAGTAAATTCACGCCATAACCCACCCTTCAAACCGAAACACAGCCATGAAAATACAACTGCTTCACGGTTGAGACACGAATGGGACAGAGGTACCCAAGCAATCGACTTTTGTATAAAGTCTCCCTCTGGTAAACATCTTTAACGCATTTAAATTCGTACCTTTTTTAGGTAAGACCCATCTCTGTATCGGAACCAGAAGTATGGCAATATGGGGGTACCACTCCTCTTGACTCTGGCTGCTTCTTTGACTCTCCCGCGGATCAAGCCCGCTAGTTGTGAAGAAGTTAGTTCTTTGGAACTGTACACTGATGGATATAGTGCAGTGCTCTTTGACCAGAGCCAATATGTACTGAAATTAAAAGAGGTGAATGAATCAATGAAAAGCCTACCTTTTCAATTAAAGATAAAACATGTAGACAAGAACAGCTATTATTTTGTAACTTGGAATAACATACAAGCTAACGGCCCATTGGGTGGAAAGTAACCATCGTCTATAGACGTAAATGATACCATGAATATTACAGAGTACACTATAATGGTATGGTGTTTTGATTCCGTACTCTGTAATTTCACTGTCATATCATCAACTTTTTTTTATACAACTTTAAATGGTAAACAAACTGACGGCCCACCTGATGGAAAGTGGTAACCGTCGCCTATAGACATGAGCAGTACCACGGACATAACAGAGTATACTGTTTCGCCCATGATACCCCCCATGCGTTGCCATTCCTGAGGACTCAGGTGTTATTCCTCTGTACCCAGTAAATTCACGCCATATCCCACCCTTTAAACCGAAACACAGCCATGCAAATACAGCTGCTTCACGGTTGAAACACGAATGGGACAGAGGTACTCAAGCAATCGACTTTTGTACAAAATCTCCCTCATCATCATCGTATCAGGCGTTAACTGTCCACTGTTAAACATAGGCATCCACTATAAAGGAGGTTTTGTAGTTGCCATGTTTGGCAGGCGAGTTGGCAATCGCAGTTAGGCTTTTGGTGATGTTTTAAGAGGGACGCTGCCTATCTCTCGACTATTAAGTTCCCTTAGTCGCTTCTTACGACACTTACGAGAAAATAAGGGATGGTCCATTCTATGCTGGGACCGTATGGCTTATACTGATATACTATCCTACGAACCGAAGCACAGCCATGCAAAAGCACAGATACTTCACAATACAAGCACAATGGGACAGAGGACTTTTTTTTTTAGAAAATTTTCTTTAATAAATGGTTATTATAAAAATCAAGATAAATAGCAATAATAAAGGATCACAGTTAAAAAAAATAGAGTTAATAACTCTATTTTGTTTTAGAAAAATATGATCAGCTAAGATTTCTTTCCAACTAAATTTATTTAGTTAGAAAGAAATCTTAGCTTCATCATTATTTCAGCCATTATCTGTCCACTGCTGGACATAGGCCTCTTCCTTCCCTTTCTAAGCTACTATTTTTGTTTTACTAATAAAAACATAACTAAGGTTAAGAGAGGTACCGTGGGCATTACAGTATATTCAGTGAATGCCCATGGTGCTCTTCATGTCTATAGGAAATGGTTATTACTTTCCATCAGATGGACTATGGACTTGTTTGCCATTCTAAGTTGCTGGTCTACATCTTTGCATCTGCGGTACTCACCTATCATTTTCCTCGGGCACTTTGTTAGCGCAAGACTCTGCGTGGTTGTTAGTAGCCATATTGAAGCAGTATGGGAAACCATAGTATCCCCATAAAGCATTGGGGCGCATCTGCTTTGCCAGAATCAATGTTGACTGCATGAACTCGTGAGCCGATTGTTCGAAACGCTGTTTTGCCTGGAATTAGAGATTTTTTTTTATACAACATAGAATGGCAAGCAAGCTGACGGCCCATCTGATGGAAAGTGGTAACCGTCGCCTATAGACATGAGTAGTAGCATGGACATAACAGAGTATACTGTTTCGCACATGATACCCCCCATGCGTTGCCATTCCTGAGGACTCAGGTGTTATACCTCTATACCCAGTACATTCACTGCCATATTCCACCCTTCAAACCAAAACATAGCTATGCAAACACAACTGCTTCACGGTTGAAACACGAATGGGACAGAGGTACCCAAGCAATCGACTTTTGTACCAAGTCTTTCTCTGGTGAATTATGATGGGGGTTTATGATATACCTATTTAATATGGTAAACAAGCTGATGGCAACCAGATGGGAATTAGTAAACGTCGCCTGTAGACATGGATATCATCTGTGATGCCTATGGTACCCCATCATGCGTTGCAGTCCTAAGGACTACGGTGTTACGACTCCGTTAATATAAATAAAAAAATCTCATTACTCTAATGTCTGATAGGATAGTCTGGGACATTTTTCGAATCTAGTGTTTGTTAAAGCTATATGTGGTGCAAAAATTACAGAAAGTTGTCGATCTCTTTTTTAAAAATTAAATATTCTCCCACTGACAAATTATTTCATTTATTTACCTTTTAAAAAAACATATCAAAAGTGTAGACACCAACAGTTGAAGACTAGAATGTAGCGTTTACACCAATTTCATGGTATTTCCTTATGGCAACAATTTTTAAATATTTATGGGAGAATTTTTAATATTTCATTACTGAAACGTGATTAAATACTATCTTCTATTCTCATCTTCGTGTATAATATAGTATATTTTATATATGTATAAGTATATTTGTTATGTAAATATATGTATGTAAGTCAATAATTAATAGTACCGCATTCGAGTATTCTGACACTTCCCTATGGTTGACTGGGAGAGAATGCTTTTAGCATTAAGTCCGCCATGTACACATACATATATGTACTAATGAATAAATAAACAAAAAAAGTAAAACGTGAGATAGTTTTAATGAAATACTGTAAACTGTTGACGGAAACAACAAATTTTTATATTTAATTTAGTACATAAACTATTACAAATAGTAATAAATAAGACAGTGAGTTAATTTAATTATAAAATCCAAGAATAACTATGTTATTATGTAAACTGTATTATTTTAATTGCGTCATCACTTTGCGACTCACATTTTCAAGTGATCATTATACTGATTATTAAATCATTCATACAGCCCTTCATGAGAACTGATGAGGCATCAGCTCTGCCCTAATTATTACAGCCGATTGCACACGCCGACACGATGGTATCTCTTTGGCTAATTACTAAATCACAAGTTCGTGTTATGTGGCCGAGTTTGTATAAGTCTTTGTAAGTCTTTTAGAAATTAAACTCTTGTATTTTCAATTGACCACAAAAAGAAGGTCACCTCTCTCTGTTTATAACTGAATTTGGAAAATTATATTTTATTTGAATTTAGAAACTGTAAGTTTATTTTATACTTACAGTTTGGTCTTATAGCAATTTTATTAGAATCAGTGTCGTGTAATTTAGTTTTTAAATTAAAATAATTTGACATCACCACAATTGAAGTCGGTTAAATTATCTTCTACATATTGGACTGGTAAATAAGTTGACGACCTATCTGTTGGATAGTAGCGATTTTAGCTTACATGTATATAGTAACCGATGATAGGTGAGGATGCAAAAGGCAGGCCAGTTAGAGCACGTGATGAATGCACTTGGAGTTCAGCGCAATGAATTCCAGGGAGACCACGTGGAGGTCCAGCTGACAGAGTATATTGCTAGCGTCTAAGGCCTGATAGTCGGTATTACTAACAATACCTTCCCTTCGTGTTAGCGGGGTTACCATTTCCTTTGCATCCTATCAAAAAGACCCGTGTCCAAGAATGGTACGTTGATGGGATATGATATGCTCACCTCGGCCTGTATCCACGCCTGCGGCCACCACCAGTGCAGTTTCTTCTCTATCTCGTAGGAGACGTCTTTGTATGGCACGAGCACACCGAAGTTTTGCCGGAAGACTGGCCTCCACGACTCGAAGTCTATGATGCCCACCCCTGGAAGTTTAAGATCGACTTATGAGTAAAAGTAAAGTCCTAATGTCATATTGGCAGTGAATTTACAGGGTACAGAGGAATAACACCTGAGTTCTCAGGAATGGCAACGCATGGAGGGTATCATGGGTGAAACAGTATACTCTGATATGTCTATAGTACTGCTCATGTCTATAGGCGATGGTTACCATTTTCCATCAGGTGGACCGTCAGCTTGTTTGGGATTCTAAGTTGCATGTAAACAAATACATATAGAATACTAGTGTTTAGCAGTGACTTCGTCCGTGTGACCGGTGTATTTATGTATATTATGAAATAAAAAGTAACCCTATAAGGAATTAGAAAATTTATTATTTGACAAAAAACACAAAGTTACAAACACAAGTTTCTACCAACGTGTTATAAATACCGAGTCATCATGTAGCCCCCCCCCCCCCCCTTCCAATATAGGCCTCCACCAATAACGGCGCTTTTGCCAGTAATTGTTATGCTTAGCAGGCAGATTAGCAATAGCAGTTAGGCTTTGGCAGTTAGTTGGTAGATACAGTGGGCCCCACACTAGGCGAGCCTGTATCGTGAGCACCCGACAAAGCTTAACAAGTCACAATCTGTTATAATAAAAAATAACTTGTGGAAATAACTTTCCCTTGGAAATGGATATATATTTGCGGCGTTGAAACTCTGGGTCCGTGGGACTCCGAGGCCATGAATCTTTTCAAAGAGATTTCACGCCGGCTAGTAGAAACCTCTGGCGACCAAAAGGCTGGCCTATACTTTGGTCAACGCATTTCCATTGCTATTCAGCGTGGAAATGCAGCAAGTCTCCTAGGTACCCTACCAGCTGGCAGTGATCTTAAGGAAATTTTTTATCTTTAACTATTTAAATTTATTCCATTAGAAACATTTATTTAGATAGGTATCATGTATAAATATATAAATATTACTCGTGGGCGGGTATTAATATAAAAAAAGGAATATAAAATTAAAATAGTGATAATTAAGAGAAGCGAAGTTGAGGAAATGAATATGGGTATGTTCGTGAGTATGTGTGAATGTGTGTTGTGTAATCCATGTGAAAGATGTGTGTGTACTGTATGTTATTACTTTCCAGACCACAGTTTTTCAGTTGCTTCGTAACATAGTGATAAAAGATAATTATTTAATTTGTGTTTCATAATATATGTACCATTTGTTTTTACAACACAGGGGGCAAACGAGCATGCGGCTCACCTGATGGTAAGTGACTAACGCCGCCCATGATCACCCACAACACCTACGGCATTGCAGGTGTGCTGCCGGCCTTTTAAAAAGGAATATGCTCTTTTCTCGAAGGTTATGTTGTCGTATCGGTTCGGAAATACTGCTGCTGGAAGTTGATTCCAAAGAGTGGTTGTGCGTGGGAGAAAGTGTCTTGAAAAACGCACAGTGGAGGACCGCCACTCGTTCAGATGGTTAGGATGAAATTTTAGTTTATTACAATGACCTATCAGTGGACACATTTTGTTAATTATATAGTACATTGACGGAAATGCACCAATACGGCGGGCAAAGGAAGATCTGATGGTAGGAATGTTTAGCTTAAGCCACCTGAAATGTAACAAGAAAGAGTGATCCTTATCCTCCTATATCCTATCTCCTTGCCAATCCCATATAGTACTTGTATACAAAATTTCATAGTGATTGATTAAGCTGTTAAGACACTATAAGATAACAAACAAATAATCAAACTCATTTTCACATTTATAATAAAATATTAGTATTAGAACAGAAGAGAACCAGAAGGAGATTGTATCTTCTCCCGCTTGTGTTTCTGCCGTAAAGCATTTGTGCTTGCATGGCTATATTTCGGTTTGAAAGATGAAATTTGGCAGTGAAATTACATGGTACGGTGGCATTACACCACAGTCCTCAGGAATAACAACGCTTGAGACATGCTATGGGTATCACATTAGGCATTAAGTCCAGTCTGTAGACATATTTTAATGTGTGCAAAAGTATAACTTTTTTTTATACAACTTAGAATGGCAAACAAGCTGACGGCCCACCTGATGGAAAGTGGTAACCGTCGCCTATAGACATGAGCAGTACCATGAACATAACAGAGTATAACATAAATAAATAAACAAATAAATAAGTCATTAAAATATTTCAATAATTTAATTACAATCTTATCTTTATAATTCGCTTTTAAAGATAAACCCTACTTTATTTATCACTCCAAGCATGCATGTTTATTTTAATATGAAACGTGAATCATCCATTGTTTTTATTTCACAAGTGGCAACAAACAATAAATCTGGTGCAGCGAAAGTGTATGAGTCAGTCGTGTGTAATTTATATATATAGTATAAATTTATTTATTAATTTATACGTTTGCTCACATTAAAACATGTCTACAGGGCGGACTAAATGCCTGATGGTATTTTCTACCAGTCAACCGTTACGATAAACAGACAGAGAGTAAATGACGGTGCATTTATTTTAAAAACAAACAATTTGTAAATGAAATAAATATTTTGGGAGATAATAACATTGTACATTTTAAGATAAATAAACATACAAACAATGGGATATAGCATATTATTCTATATGTTTATATAGAATAATATGCTTACAAAAAATATACATACATAAATCACGTACAATACAATACATACATATGGGGGGGGGGGGAAGGGATTGTTAGTAATGGAGACTGAGAAACCCATTGCTATCAATATACCCAACCAGGTCGACCTCCTCGCGGTTCCCCCTGGAAACTATCATGGTTAATTCCTGATGAATTCATCATGATGGGCTAACTGGCCTGTTTTCATTCTCATCTATTACCCTTCACTGGTGCTCCGCCAGCGTATCCCGTTAGTGCAGGCGGGGTTACCATACCATTTTCACCCATCAAAAAAAAGTTGGTGTCGTGTCGTATCAAGAGGTGAAGAGACGCGCTCAAAATCGTAGTGAGTGGCAAGAGCTCCACCGACAAGAGCACAGCTCTTAAACAGCATAGATAGATAGATAGATCTGAAAAGATATACCGGTCCCATAGAAATTTTATCAAAATCGATTCAAGAGTTTCGTATTTAGATCAGATATAATAGAGATAATTAGAGATAATTTGTTTTATTACAATTGAAGTCGATTTTTTGTAGGGCACAATTTTTAATTATACCGTGCGGTCCCGGCAACAAATAGGCCATCCCTTCCTTTCCCGTGGGTGTCGTAAGAGGCGACTAAAGGATAGCAGCGTTCCTCTTAAAACAAATCCAAAGCCTAACTGCGGTTGCCAACCCGCCTGCCAAACGTGGCAACTACTGGCAAACCCCTCCAAGGCTTATATTCAGCAGTGGACAGTTAAAGGCTGATATGATGATGATGATGAATCTTTAATTATCATTAAATTACATTTAATTAGACCACATTTATTTTGACTTTATATTTATTACTACATTATAGCGTATTATAACTTATTCACTATTCTAATAGAACGATGACAGAACGACGAATTAATTTACAGGATTCGAACTTGTGATTCAATACAAAATTTCCGCATCGCTGACCTTGTTCATTGAGAAGTGTAATTGTTACTAGTTGTGATTTATGATGACTTCACTGATCTTGATCTCTCGTTACAGTATTCATACTTGACATATACGGAATTTTATAATATACTAGTTTTTTTGCCCGCTACTTCGTACATGTGGATTAGCAAACACCATTGAAATAAAGCACTTTTAAATGATTCATTTCAGCCGTTAACTGTCCATTGCTGAACATAAGCCTTCTCCGTAAAGGGGGTTTTCCCAGTAGTTGCCACGCTTGGCAGGCGGGTTGGCAACCGCAGTTAGGCTTTTAGAGATGTTTTAGGAAGGACGCTGCTGAGTATCCCTCTACCATTAAGCTCCCTTAGCCTTACGATACCCACCAAAAAGGAAGGGGTGGCCCATTCTATGCCCGAATCACAAGAATATTATATATTTAGCATTAGTATAATATATTGCCATGTAATTTCCGAGTCATTATAATTATTTTATACAGAAGGAAACATTGTACAAAAGTCGTTTGTTTTGGTACCTATGTCCCATTCGTGTTTTAACCGTGAAGCAGCTGTGTTTGCATGACTGTGTTTCGGTTTGAAGGGTGGAATATGGCGTGAATTTACTGGGTACAGAGGAATAACATCTGAGTCCTCAGAAATGGCAACGTATGGGGTGTATCATGGGCGAAACAGTATATGTACTCTGTTATGTCCACGGTACTGCTCATGTCTATAGGCGACGGTTATCACTTTCTATCAGGTGGGTCATCAACTTGTTTGCCATTATAAATTGTATAAAAATTATAAATATAAAGATGTCTAATATTGATCCGGTCACTATAAATGTTGATAGGTAATAGATTAGATAACAATTCATAACAAAATTGTTGAACAGGTGCCTTTATAGAAACAAACTAAAACGACTGACTTAGTTTTACATGAGATCATACATTTTATAGTGGAAGAACTGCGTTGCGAGACTTATTTATTTATTAATTTATACTTTTGCTCACATTAAATCATGTCTACAGGGCGGACTTAATGCCTGATGGTATTCTCTACCAGTCAACCGTTACGATAAACAGAGAGAGTAAATGGCGGTGCATAGATTTAACAAAACAGTTTTTAAATTAAATAAATATTTTGGGAGATAACAACATTGCAAATTTTAAGATAAATAAACATGCAAACATGTAGAATAATATGCTCACAAAAAATATATACATATATAAATCATATACAATACAATACGTATATAAATAACTATATATAATCTATACTTATAATAAATCTGTAGAGAGGTCAATTCTATACATGAAATATATTTCCAAAATAACTATCAGCGGGTGATTAGTGATCGATACTGATGCTAAAAATGCAATCAGTAAAATTTTTGTCTGTCTGTCTGTATGTTCGTTATAGAAACAAAAACTACTCGACGGATTTTAACGAAACTTTGTACAATTATTCTTCATACTCCCGGGTTATACTATACTTTTCATCACGCTACGATTAATAGGAGCAGAGTAGTGAAGGGAAATGTTGAGAAAACGGGAGAAGTTACTCCATTTTTAAGTTTTCGTCGCGTGTGCAGCCTTAGTGGCCACTTTTTAAAATGTAAAAATGTCCACCCGCGCGACGCTGGTACGGGCCGCTAGTTTTTTTTTTTTTTTTGATGGATGAAAATGGTATGGTAACCCGGCCTGCGCTAACGGAATACGCTGGCGGAGCACCAGTGAAGGGTGATAGATGAGAATGATATATAATAGTACAGAGTGAAGCTCTTCATTTCATCGATTTCATCGCACCCCTATTTGGTACAAAAAGCGGTCTTAGTACTATTAGAGAATGCTATGCATTCTCTCCCAGTCAACGTTTTAGCAAAACGGAAATTTAATTATGCGGTAAAGAAATTGACAATTGTTGCAGATAGACAATTACACGTACGTAGACTTGGCATTTTTTTATATTATATGTTTCGATGGGAAAAGGTTAAAATCACATTTTCTTTCCCTTGAGTAATATTTATTTTTGTATTTTTCTAATTGAGCTGTCAAATCTTAAAATCATTAAACTATGTTTCTAATGTAAGTAGTATATTCATTTATTTTAACGTTTATTATATAAGTAGGTAGGTATTATATGTATTTATAGTGTATGTATTTATGTGTATGTATTTATGTATTTTTTTGTTATATATTTTAATACTTTATTTAACTGTATATTTGTTTATGTATTAATAGTTGTAGCACTTCAGCTGCCCGTTAACGACATGCTTTCTCACTGTACTTGGATTGACTGGAAGAGATCTCTGTCAGAGATAAGTCCACCCTTGCGCGCAACATTTATAAATACATTATTTTATATGTAACTTACAAGTGCAATATATATATATATATATATATATATATATATATATATATATATATATATATATATATATATATATATATATATATATATATATCAGTATATCCTATTTTAATAATATTAATGTTACTCTTGTGAGGGTAACATGCAGACGTAAATTTTACTTTCTAAAACACCATAAAGTAAACATAATATTGTGGACAAATAAACAATTGAAACTGGACCGGTTTTGAGCAAATATTTTCTTAACACCATTACGTTATTAAGGTGAACTTATCGTTATTTCAAGGTGACTTATAAAATACACAAACTTCTCATTGAAATTTGTGTATTTTCACTAAGATTATAAATGTGAAAGTTTGTTTATTTGTTATCCTATAGCGTCTTAACGGCTCAACCAATCAATATGAAGTTTAGTATTATACGTATTATATGGAGAAGGATATAGGTTACATTTTATCCCGGTTAGTAAACGTGTCCCGGTCACGCGGACGAAGTCGCGGATAAAAGTTAGTAACTTTATAATAGTATAACTTTAAAATGCCTTCGTCTAGTAATGTAGATACTTATTACCCTAACTGGGGGGAGAGGTAATGGGGATTAGCGACCTAATTGCTGGCAATATAGGGTATGTTTTTTTTTAATGGATAATAATGGAATGGTAAGCCCGCCTGCGCTTATTGTATACACTGGCTGAGCACCAGTGAGGAATGATTAGTGAGCATGAAAAGGCAGGTCCGTTAGCCCATAGTGACAAATTCAACGATAAAGTCACGATAGTTTCCAGGGGGAACCGCGTGGAAGTCGACCTGATAGGGTATATTGTTAGCAATGGGGACTAATCTCCCCATTAATAACAATCCCATTCAGTTTCATTGCTAGCAATATACCTAATATATATTAAGTTTATTATATAGTATTAGGTATATATATATTAAAATATATATTAGGTAGACTTCACCGCGGTTCTCCCTGGAAACCATCCTGACTTATTGTTGAATTCGTCACGATGCGCCAACTGACCTGCTTCATCCTAACTTATCATCCCGTGGGGAAAGGGATTGTTAGTAATGGAGACTGAGAATCCCATTGCTAGCAATATACCCAACCAGGTCGACCTCCTCGCGGTTCTCCCTGGAAACTATCATGGTTAATTCCTGATGAATTCATCATGATGGGCTAACTGTTTTCATTCTCATTTATGTTTTCATTACTCCATACCATACCATTTTCACTCATAAAAAAAACCTATCATCCCTCACTGGTGCCCCGCCAGTGTATACCGATAGCGCAGGCGGGGTTACCATTCCATTATTATCCATTAAAGAACAATTCGATGTTATAGGACGAAGGGAACACATCTTGGGGAAGATGATAGCACATTACGGTTCACGTAAAAGTTGGCAAGTTTATTTATACGCAAGCGCAGGCTGTCTGCAGTGTATGTATGTAGCCGTTGGCCCATCCTTGTTTTGCGATATTGGTAAAGGGAACGTGGAATAAAGTAATAAAATTTTCCTGACCACTTCCCATAGAAGAGTTTTGCCAAGGTTTTATATTTAGCGTTCGTAACGTGTCTACTTTTTTAAAGTAATAAATCATTAGAAGTAACAAATCATCATACTTCAAAAAGGGGGTAAAGAGGTTTCTTCAGGGTCGGCAACACGCGCGTAACACCTCTGGTATTGCAGGCGTTCATAGGCTACGGTAACCGCTTACCATCACGTGGGCCGTAAGCTCGATTGCCACCTCAGTGTTATAAAAAAAAAGAGACATAGACTGTATACTTGTTTGTCTATAGTTGATAAAAAAATTAAAACAATTACATTATAATTTACCACTTACCATTAAAATCATGGTCTGGAATACTTTGGTCCAATACACTTTTGAACGAGGCCAAATGCTTCTCGAGATCGCCCTCTTGCGGCACACCGCCATTTCTAAATTTAAATTTCCCGCTCGTTTCGTTCTTCAAAAGCGCGGGAAACAAGCCCGGGTCATACAATATGGCGATTTTTTCACCGCGAAAACTGTCATTTTTGTTTTGTAATATCCCAAATTTCTCATATAGGCTCTCGAACGGGATCCTCTTTGATTTACACTGCATTGTGGGCACGTTCCAATAAACTCTGAATGGTTTTTTGTGAAGTTTAATCGGTGGGTCGTTTTCTGGCATTTGGATTACGTAGTAACTGAAACAATTAGAATAAGAAGATTTTTATTCAAGTAAACTTATGGTTGTATAGGCTTAGTCCTTTTGTCTTCCCTATGCATAAGGAAAAACAAAATAAAAAAAAAAATCAAAATAACTTAATTAGAAAATAAATGGTCAATAAACTGTCCACCAATAGTAATTTTTAATTAGTATATAAATATATATTTAGTATATATGTTTATATATATACATAGGGCTCTTTTCAGGTGTAGATAAAAGTAGAAAATTGGTGATAGAAACCGTTTGTGCGTAGAAAACTTTGGCGTGCTGAGTACGTGCCAGCGCCAACAGCATCCTGAGTATGATAACAAGCAGGCTGTATTGTGTGTACGTTAATCACTGTATTATACACGTTACACGTTGTATACTATGTATAAGTGTGTGTGTGAGTGTGTGTGCGTGTGCGTGGCCGTGTGCGTGTGAGTGTTCGTGTACGTGTGCGTGTGCGTGTGCGTGCATAAGCTTTAAGAATATTGTTACTAATAAATATTAATAGACCAAAAATCCTAAATAAAAAAAAAATAATGTATTCTTAATGCCAGCGGCACTATTACGCGATATAACATACAAGTGATCTATTTCCTTAATATATGTATGTAAGTGAGGCGAGTTATGTAATATTTATTTGGTTACCAAACACTATGATGTCATGTAGTGTTTTGACAAAGCGCGGAAGTGTTATACGGCAATATTTTATACATAATAGAAATCTTTCAAATTTATTTCTAGACATACATTACAAGTTACATAATAAGTTTACAATTTCCGAATTTAATAAAAAAGTATTGACGAATAGAAGTCTATTTCTTTTTGGAGATCGGTTAAAAATATTATTTTCAACCGATATTAAAAAGAAAGTTCTCAATTCGGTCGTTGGTTGTTTTTTTTTAATATTTCTAGATAGATAGATACTCTTTATTGTTTCTTCCAAAAGATTATAATAGTAAACTTATTACAAAGTTAAATAATTACAAGAAATAATCGAATAAGAGATCGACCTGCTAGCAATGGGATTCTCAGTCTCCATTATTAACAATCCCATTCCTCCCCCACTCTGTGAGGTTGACCTACTTCCACGTGATCCATACTGGAAACCATCTCGCTGAATCCCAGGTTTGTTCATCACGATGGGCCAATTGATCTGGGCCAGCGTATACCGTTCGCTAGTGGGGTTGTCATTGCATTATTAAAAAAATGTCCTACACTATATTTACCTGTATGGTGCCAAACAATATTTAATATAAAATATAAACATTTATACAAAATAGTACAAAATAAAATAGTCTAGAAAGTTTTTTTTTTTTTATATATGTAACTACCGTGTTTTCCTGGCATAGAATGGCCCACTCCGTCCTTTCCCGTAAGTGTTCCCGTCTGTCAAGCGTGGCATAACCTCCCAATAGAGAACGGCTTATGCTCAAAAATGGACAGTTTACGGCTCAATCATTTGAAATGTTAAAATAAATAATCAATAAGAGCCAACTTCAAAGAAGGTCAAATGTCTTGAGAGTTGAACTTAGGAATTGGCATTATGTGCTTAGGATCGCATTTAACGCATCGACGATGCTCCAAATAACATTTCCGCTAAGAGCAAACTCCATTGACCTTGCATCTACACGCTTGCATCTATACTTATATAACATATTGGACACTCAGCTGGTCGCGTATTACGTAGTAAAAACATAATAACTTGTAGTTTATGCAACTTATAATAAGGTTTTAGGTTCGATTCTCGGTTTTTATTTTATGACCTTTGAACTCTCTGTTATTAGCTATATTTTATTTGTACTTAGTTTTTTTTTTTTTAAATACATAGATAGATAGCTAGATACTCTTTATTGTTTCTATCCAAAAGATTACAATAGTAAACTTATTATATATATATATATATATATATATATATATATATATATATATATATATATATATATTAAATTCTCGTATATAAAATTATCGTGTCACGGTGTTTGTTACCAAACTCCTCCGAAACGACTTTTATGAAATTTTTTGTGCATATTGGGTAGGTCTGAGAATCGGCCAACATCTATTTTTCATACCCCTCAATGATAAGGGTGACGCTCCAAAATTTTTTTTTTATTTTTTTAACAAATTTTCCATTTTTATTTTATTATGATTTAGCATTGAAAAATACACACAACTTTAAATTTTCATCGTTTCACGATCAACCCCTGTCTTTTAATCGCGATTTTTATATTTCGCAATATGTGGTAAAATAACGTTTACGGGGTCAGCTAGTATATATATATTTATTATACTTGGAGTTGGAGAGAGGATATGCGCAAAAGAACCAATGTGACCGATATAGCCCGAAGAATAAACAAATTGGAGTGGTAATGGGCTGGTGACATAGCTCGAAGAACCGATAACTGATGGGAAAGAAAGGTCACGAAGTTAATAGACGCAGGTGGTTCTTGACCGTTATTTATGGTAGTCTATGGGGGAGGGTTATGTTCAGAAGTGGATAGGTAATGGATGGGATGTTGATAATGATATAAATGTATTCTTATACTAGCGGCCCGTCCCGGCGTCGCACGGGTGGACATTTTTATATTTTAAAAAGTGGCCATTATGGCTGCACACGCGACGGAAGTAACTAGACGGAGTAAATTCCCCCGTTTTCTCAACATGTCCCTTCACTGCTCTGCTCCTATTGATCGTAGCGTCATGAAAAGTATACTATAACCTGCCCGGGAGTATGAAGAATAATTGTACCAAGTTTTATTAAAATCCGTCGAGTAGTTTTTTTTTCTATAACGAACATACAGAGAGACAGACAAAAATTTTACTGATTGCATTTTTGGCATCGGTATCGATCACTAATCATCGCCTGATAGTTAATTTGGAAATATATTTCATGTACAGAATTGACCTCTCTACAGATTTATTATAAGTATATGATATGTAATATTTGTTTGATATATTATTTTTATGTATGAGTATGTACATTTTTTTTTATACAACTTAGAATGGCTAACAAGCTGATGGCCCACCTGATGGAAAATGGTAACCGTCGCCTATAGACATGAGCAGTACCATGGACATAACAGTACACACACATACTGTTTCGCCCATGATACCCCCATGCGTTGCCATTCCTGAGGACTCAGGTGTTATTCCTCTGTACCCTGTAAATTCACGCCATATCCCACCTTTCAAACCGAAACACAGCCATGCAAACACAACTGCTTCACGGTAGAAACACGAATGGGACAGAGGTACCCAAGCAATCGACTTTTGTACAAAGTCTTCCTCTGGTAATATATATATATATATATATATATATATATATATATATATATATATATATATATATATATATATATATATATATATATATAATAAGTTGTGTTTGCATAACTGTGTTTCGGTTTGAAGGAATATGTAGGAATAACACCTGAGTATACTTGTGTTTATTGAACTAGTCTAGGTTTCTCGTTTCATTTACTTTCCCAATGTTTTACTAGTATGTCTTTGTTAATTGTCTGGAAGAGATTGCTTAGCAATAAGACCGCCTTTTGTACTACACTATACTTATTGAAAATTATTCAACAAATCCTGTTATGTTGGTGCAATAAAGTGTTAAATAAATTTACCAGAGGAAGACTTTGTATAACAGTCGATTGCTTGGGCACCTCTGTCCCATTCGTGTTTCAACCGTAAAACATTTGTGTCTGCATGGCTGTATTTCGATTTGAAGGGTGGGATATGGCGTGAATTTACTGGGTACAGAGGAATAACACTAAAGTCCTCAAGAATGGCAACGCATTGGGGGTAACATAGGCGAAACAGTATACTCTGTTATGTCTATGGTATTGCTCATGTCTATAGGCAACGGTTACCACTTTCCATCAGGTGGGCCGTCAGCTTGTTTGCCATTCTAAGTTGTATAAAAAAAAATTATCTATCTATCTATCTAGTTATGACCTCCATTTAAGTTAAACTTAAATATTTTTAAACATTATTTTTTTTTATTTGTAAATCTTTATCGTATTGATTATCGTAAGATAAGATACGACATTTACCGTCCTAAATGTACAACTACAATGACTGTACACAGTTTAAAAATAAAAATATAGGTTACAATAGTTAGCATCCTAATACCTTCTGTACCCCTACAGAAGGTATTAGGTTAGGAAAGGGATTGTTAATAATGGAGACTGAGAATCCCATTGCTAGCAATACACCTAACCAGGTCGACCTCCTCGCGGTTCCCCCTGGAAACTATCATGGTTAATTCCTGATGAATTCATCACGATGGGCTAACTGGCCAGTTTTCATTCTCATCTATCACCCTTCACTGGTGCTCCGCCAGCGTATCCCGTTAGCGCAGGCGGGGTTACCATACCATTTACACCCATCAAAAAAAAATACGTTCTGTAATCGAATTAATTTGTACTCTTTTATGAACAATCTAAATTTACCTATTTTTGTGGGGGGAAATGATTATTAGTAATGGGAGGTTAGTCCCCATTGCTATCAATATACCTTATCAGTTCGATCTACACGCAGTTCCCCTGAAAACCATCATGACTAATTTATCGTTAAATTCGTCACGATGGGCTGACTGATCTACCTTTTCATCCTCACCTATCATCTCTCACTGGTGCCCCGACAGCGTACACCGTTAGCGCAGACGGGGTATTTATTTTTGTAATGGATGATAATGGTATGGTAACCCCGCCTGCGCTATCAGTATACGCTGACAGGGCACCAGTGAGGGACGATAGGTGAGAATGGAAGAGCAGGTCAGTTAGCCCATCGTGATGAATACACCTGAAATTCAGCATGATGGTTTCCAAGGGGGACCACGTGGAAGTCGACCTGATAGGGTATATTGTTAGCAATGGGATTGATAGTCCGCAGTACTAACAATCCCTTTCCCCCTGCGCAGGCGGGGTTACCATTTCACTACCATACATTAAAAAAAAACCTACTTTTGTAGAGGAAGTAGGCATT